TTTTCACCAGTCAATCAAAAAGTAAAGATAAAAACGATCCAAAAAAGAGAAGCTCCGTCATACTCATTACGGTCATACTACAGTGACTCCATAAACCTTCACATACAGTGGCGACCTACCTCAATAGTGGCGACAAGGTCTATTGCTGTTCACAAGTATATATGGGAATAGAAGTAGGCCCCGCCCCCGCCGTCATTTTGGGATTTTATGGAACCAATCAAAAATAGGACCACCATTGTCATCACTGTAGGTTTATCAAGTCACTGTCCGTCATTCCATCTGACGCGACATCTATGATCAACTTTGGTAGATACTTGGCATTGTTTTTTATAGTCTTTAATTTTCCACAGAATATCACTCTTTTTACGTATAGTTTCTGTTATATAAATCACAAAAACGCAACAAAACACAATTTAACACCAGCTCACTTACCTCAACGAACTGGCTTCGTTATTGCATAATATGGCGCCATCTATTGGTCCCAGATACACAATGAAGTAAACATCATTTGTCAAACAATTGGTCTTGAATGACGTAAAATGCATTGTTCATCTGTCAAAGTTACTGATTGGTCAATCGCTTGAGAACCGCCAATGTTTTCAATTCAAACATAAAACAAATATTATATGTTTCATGTTTCTCAACGTGGTCTACGGTGTCTAACATTTATTAGTGTATTTGGATTGTGTTGAAAGTTTTCAATAAAAAATTAAGAAGTGTTTTTTTATGTGGGAGAAATCAAGACTTATTGACTTTGACGAACAATTTTTTTACAATTGTTATTTGAAAATACAGTTTCGTAAAAAAAGTGGCTTCAAGTATGGTGATTTTCTTTTAACCAAAGAGTCTCTGGGCGATTTGGGTTATCATAGAACATGTTATCAAAAAGTAACTGCATTACAGCAGAAATACAATGATCAATACAGTACATTTGTTAAAAATTTTGAAGTAAGTAAAAATTAAATTTCTATTTCATAAATGTAGGTAGGAGGTAAAATACCCGACCACTCGGATCTCCGGGCGTCGGGTGATCCTGGGGGTCCTTCATGCAAAGATATAAAGAGAAGATCAAAAACTCAACTCAGAATTGATTTTAGCAATATAAGAGGAATAAGTACAAATATGAATTCAGTTCACCAACATCTTGAAGAACAAAGACCTGACATCCTTGTTCTCACTGAAACTAAAATCAGTTCTGCAACACCAATTGTGAACTATCTTTACCCCGGCTATGACCTACACCACCGATTTCGACATAATTTTGGGATCTGTGTGTACATTAAAAATGACCTTTCATGTCATCGAGAGGAGAAGCTAGAACCAGCGAACCTTGATGTCATATGGCTAAAATTCACCTCAAAGTCATCGACCAAGTTTATCTGCTGCCTCTACCGACCGCCAAGTAACACCGATTACCAAAACTTTTTCGCGACATTATCCGAAAGCTGTGATAGTATACAGTCAAACTATCCACAGGCGGAAATTGTCTTTTTAGGCGATTTCAAAGTCCACAATATACCCTGGCTGAAACACCACAACAAAACAGATAACGAAGGCAGAGAAGCAGAAGCTTTTGCCATAAGTTGTGGTCTAACGCAGCTTGTCGATGAACCTACCCGTATCTCAGAAAGGGGCGAATTTGCAGCGCATTTAGACTTGTTCCTAACCACAAATCCTGACTCGTACACAATTCAAGTAGATGCTCCACTTGGTTCGTCCGATCATAAACTTATAATAACAAAGTGCGAAATGCTCATCCCACCAAGCCTACAACCACTTCCTCGTAAAATGTGGCACTATAAATCGGCAAAATGGAATGACCTAAAACAGTATTACCTGGATTTTCCATGGCAAGAGGTTTGCTTTAAAACAGCTGATCCCACTATTTGCTGTAATGAAATAACACAAGTAATCTTATCTGGAATGGACGCATATATCCCACATACAACTAAACGTAGAGCTAATGCAAAACCTTGGTTCAACAGCCAGTTTCAAACGGCTGTACAGAAAAAAACACAGAGCATATAACCTTTGGAAACGACAACAAACCGCTCAAAACCACACAGAATTTATAGAAGCCAGAAATAGTTGCAAAATTACTATTGACTCCGCTAAAGAAACATACAATCAAAGAATAAAAAACAGGTTGCTGAATTGTCCAAGTAGTTCTAGGTCTTTTTGGTCTCTTGCAAAAGCTGTTGGATCTAACTTCACCAAGTCATCCATACCACCACTTACAGATAAAAATAATCACTTAGCCACAACATCAGAGGAAAAAGCCAATATGCTTGCCCAAATGTTTTCCTCCAACTCCAACCTAACAGTGCCAAACGGAAAAACTCCACCGTTCATTGAAAGGGTTTCCCATAGTATGCCAGAGGTACCCTTTTGTCACAGAGAAATACGAAAATCCCTAAAAAAGCTGGATACAAACAAAGCAATGGGTCCGGATGGCATTCCCGCAATAGTACTCAAAAATTGCGCCAACGAACTCACCCCAACTTTCGCAAAATTATTCAATTTGTCTTACAGGCAAGGAGTATATCCATTATCATGGAAGTCTGCCGCAGTACAACCCATTCCAAAGAAAGGAAAAAAGACAGATCCGTTAAACTATAGACCAATTGCTCTACTTCCGGTGATATCAAAAGTAATGGAAAGAGTTGTGAACAATCACCTAACCAAGTACTTGGAAAAGTACAAAATTATCAACGATAAGCAATACGGATTTCGAAACTATAGGTCAACTGGCGATTTACTTACATACGTCACTCACTTATGGCAAAAAGCGATTGAGTTGCGGGGTGAAACAAGAACAATTGCCTTAGATATATCTAAAGCATTCGACAAAGTTTGGCATGAAAATCTGCTCAACAAGCTCAAAGCAATGGGATTATCGCCGAAACTTTGCACTTGGTTTGAAAGTTACCTAAAGGACAGATCCATTTATGTTGCACTGGATGGCCAGCACTCAAACTCTTACCAAATAAATGCTGGTGTGCCACAGGGAGCAATCCTTTCGCCAACTCTTTTCCTGATTTACATAAATGATCTCATAGATAAAACAGTAAATCCACTTTATTGCTTTGCAGACGATGGCAATGTAGTCTCCTCACTCATACTACCCACAGGTCTTTCCGCACGTGAATTGCATCATCTTATACTAACTCAAATATCGCAGATAAATAACGACCTGGAGATAATAGAGGACTGGGGTAACAAAAACCTTGTACAGTTCAACGCGCAGAAAACCCAAGCAGCTCTGTTATCAAAAAAGACCGGCACCGGTGAGCCAAACATCATGCTATCTGGAAGTGCTGTCACATTACAGACTCAGTTGAACATCTTGGGGGTTACTGCAGAGACCAACATGTCTTGGCACAGTCACGTGGCAGATATTGCTAAAAGGGCCTCCCAAAAGCTGGGGGTGCTATTTCGTACAAGACATCTGTACACACCAAGCCAATTGCTGACACTCTACAAAGCCCAGATTCGACCAACTATGGAGTACTGCTCACATATATGGAGTGCAGCACCCAAACATACCTTAATGCTTTTGAATACCGTGCAAAAACGAGCTATCAAGCTGATCAATGACCCCGTACTTACTCGTAACTTGGATGGTCTCGAACATCGCAGATCTGTGGGCGATTTATCTCTCTTCTACAGGTACTATCACGGAAAATGCTCTGAAGAGTTGGCACGTATGATTCCACCGAGAGTAGCACCTACCAGGCGAACCCGTCAAACAGACGGTAACCATGAATTTACTGTCAAACTAGAGGTACCAAGAACCTCATTATATCAGAATTCATATCTCTGGAGAACAGCATCGCTGTGGAATAAACTCCCTGCGACGGTTTTCCCTGCAGGTTACAACCTGAACCGTTTCAAGACCAACATACACCGACATTTCCACGCACTTGCCGCTTCTCGAGCGTGATAGGACATTTCCTTGCGAGTGCGCATATCCGTAAAAAAAAAAAAAGGTACTTAAGTTTTTTTTATCAAAATAAATATAGATGAAATAATTAAAAATAGCTATTTTCCCAACGAGTGCGGAGAGAAAATTTCCGGCAAGAGGGTGCGTAATGCCCGAGTGTCGGAAATTTCCTTCCGCAAGAGTTAGGAACTATATTTTTTCTACGAGCGTACTGAAGGTGATGTTACGGTATAAAATTTCTAAGGTAGCTACCTACATCAGCAGAATGCTTGCGGAATTTCCTCTTCCATGTTTGATTTGATTATTATATTTGACACTTCAAAAATGATGTTTATGATGCGCCTATCTTTTCAAAGGTTTACTATAGAAACGTTTGATCTACCTTTATTACCTAAAATTTACTTGCCGTTTAAATGACTATTTATCAAAATGAATAAACACATTTAAAACATATTTGAGATTATGATGTACCTATTCGTAATAAAAACTAGCGTATGATATGCGTGTATAAGAGCACTTAAAGCACTTGCGACTTACAAAATGTCCCACGTGCTTTAAAAACCCTCTTATACACTTATAATAGGTACCTACTATTAGATTGTTAAATAACTCAAATATATGAAATCAAACATGGAACAGGAAATTCCGCAAGATATTTTGCATTCTGCTGATGTAGCTACCTTAGAAATTGTACCGTAACATCACCTTTAGTACGCTCGTAGAAAAATATAGTTCCTAACGCTTGCGGGAAGAAATTTTCGGCACTCGTGCGTCGTACCGAAAATTTGTCTTCCTGCACTCGTTAGGAAAATAGCTATTACAATCTTGATTTTCAATTTTTTTTTCCTTATTTTTTGTTGTTAATGTGCTATACCTAAATATATCCAAAACTCACTGTTATTATTATTTTTCAGGAACGGGAACTTTCTCTCAATTTTCATCCAAAAATGCTAATTCGTCGTCAGCCGATTTTGTACGTATATTAACATCTTTTTTTTTTGATTAACAACATTATATTTCACTACCTATTGTAATTTTCATTTAATCAAATGTTTAGGTGACTCCGAGTACATCTACAGCTGATGGACATTTTAGCGATTTGGAAGTAAGTCGTCATTCAAGTACCAAAGATACTGAAAGTGAACACAGAATTGATACACAAGATCCAGTTGTTACAGATTTGAACGAGGTATTAAAAATATTTCAATTTATTGAATTATTTATGGTTTATTGCTGTAAGATAAAATAGACAGTATGCGTACTTGCAGAAATTCCGAACCATAATTTTTTTAACTACCTACGCAGTGTTGCCACAGCCTCTGATAGTTTCGTGCCAGACTATATTTTTAAAAGGGGCCAGATTTAAGAATTTCGGGCAAACCGTTTTCAAATCAAAAACAGGAGAGAAAGCCCGCAGGCGTCGCCGGAGGCAGAAAATTTTTTCGGGTGCAACGCCCAAAAACGTTTAATTTACATAAAAAAATAATGATTTGGCTTGTTATTGAGAAACGGGCTAGATTCGAAAAAGAGTGGCCAACGGACCACTCCGTCCTAAAAAGGGCCAGATCTGGCCATATGGGGCCACCTGTGGCAACACTGTACCTACGATTTAAGCAAATAAATATTGACGTAGTTGATGAAATAGGAATAATTGTTGAAAATTCATAAAATTTTAAATTAATTACAAAAAAATCGCAATTGACGTGTCTCGTAATACCTGGTGTGCGCGCGCAATTCGGGGGTTGCAGGTGAGCGTCTAATGAAAATTGAGTTTGTTACGGGCTTGCGTCATATTCGTATTCCGGGACACGAGTTCAGAATTAATCATTCCTTCTTTCTTTGTAACGTGTAATTCGACAGAGAGCAAACTAATACTTTACGTATTACTTGAACTTATCGCAGTGTCGTTTAAGGTTATGTTAGATTATACTTGACATATTCCTTTGCAATTTCCTTGTGCGATGTTGCCGGATGCAACATTTATCAAAATAAAAGTGCCATCGATGTGAACATACATTTTAAAGCTCTTCTTTTGTCTGATTTAAGGCGTTGTAAACCACTTGACAATATATCACTTATTTACTGTTATAATGTTCGATTTGTATTGTCTACATTTGTTCTGCAACAATACAATCTGGCTACACTGCAGCCACGAGTTGCGCGCGCATGTCATTTTTTATTATTTTCTAACTTGTATTTATTACAATTAGGCTCTCTTTTTCTAATTCTGCGAGACACGTCAATTGATAAAATCTTCAAAAAACTAGACCTAAGTAGATAGGTCATGCATGCAAAATTGTCAAATATTATTTAAATTCATTTATTATTGACATTTATAACAGGATTTTTTTAATAAAATAGGTCATGAGCGCGCTTCGCGCGCTTTTTTTTTAAATCAAGTCCATCAAAATAATTATAAAATGGAAAATATTTATTAGGTGTTGTACAAAAAACAGCATAATTTTTGATTTAAATGTACATTATACATTAAATGTAACAGTGAGATAAGTTGTATAGATGTTATTCTAGTGAAGAAATTTCAAATGCGATGGATGGAGTTGGTGACTAATTATTTTTGTATGGTATATCATAATGATTTTAAATCGATCACATTTCTTGAATGTACGGTGTGCGTATGTCTACTTATCTCATTCTGTTTTATGGAACTCGTAGGTGTAGGTATACATTATTCGAAGTGGTTTATTTAAAACAGAATAATCATAACCATAATCAAGGTGTTATTATAAACCGAGTTAGTAACTATTTATGTGCTGTGGTATAATACGAGATATCGAGTCTTAATTTTTTTTTTACATTTTCATGAAGTTCCTTTTTTTTTATTAGGCCAGTTATTGAAGTCTACTCGATCAACATTTTACTGCAAACAATCGAAAAAAAAAATTTTTTAAAAGATTTTAAATTCAATTGCTCAATTATTCAACTTCATTTTTTGTTTGTACCTACGTGGTAGACATAAATTTTAAATGTGATCAAAGTAGTTGGTGAATTATTACTTTTGCGGTACATCGTAATGACTTTAAATCGATCTTATTTTTTGAATATACGGTGTGCATATGTCCAGTGCAACTTATTCTATTTTATGGAACTCGTAAGAATCCAAAGTTTAAAGAGTGCTAAGTCTTCATGTCGTTCTTCGTTATTTTCAATCATTTATGTTTATCGTGTTCAGGTTTTTGTCTTGTGATCTTCAAATATCTTGTAAATAAGTTGTAAAGATCTTCTGAAATCACCTATGACTGCGAAATTTCAAAATTAAATTATCAAAAAAACAATTCTTTAAAAACTTGGTTTTTGACAACACTATTGCCTCTTTGTTTCCCTGAATAAAGTTTGAATGAGTCCCACGAACGAACTCTGAAAAGCGCCACATAAAGTTGTCCGTGACTAATACATCCTTTCTGGAGATCAATTACTATCCTATCAAATGTTTGTCCTTGAGATTTGTTAATCGTAACTCATTGCAAAGGCTAATTTTATTTTAAAATTGTCTTTGTTTGAACGTAAAGGGGTAGACGTTTTCGCAGTAGAGTGTTATTCGATTTATGAACACTATTTCTCCCTGTTTATCTACAGTCAATATCTCACAGCGTAACAGATTATCCCCAAGTTCCAGAACTAAAGGCCTTGTACCATTGCAAAGGCCTGCACTGATGCTTAGATTTCTAATAAGCATACAATAGAATTCGTTTTCAATCGTAAATCATGGAGCGGGAATTCGGCGGATTAAGCGAATTTAAATATTTTGGAAGAATAGCATCATTTAGATCACTATTATCACAGTTCTTGACACTATCTATACTGGTGTAGAGTTTTTCGGTCTTGACGTCCAACAGTTCGACAACTTATTCGTTTATTTCTTCGACATCAACATTTCTTGCAGAAAGTATTGCAGATTTGGTCAAGTCCCTGAATCTTCCTTCTTTTAGTATTGTTCGTCGACTTTTCGTATGAGGAGCGAGGGGGTGAAGCGAAAACCAGGGGTGACCTTAGGTGACCATTGGCGTTCAAATGTAGGGTGCCACCAGCTCACATTCCTTTCGAGTATTAGATTAAAATCGACGGACTTTACTTCTCATAGATGTTTTCAACAATATCCGAATTATCAATACATTTCTCCGACAATTTTAGATTGTCGTTAGAATCATTTAGTGTTCGTTATCGCATAAAAATGGCTCAATTTCAGCAATAAGTGCTTAATATTGGCCTTTAAGGCGGCAACCGTTCGAGATTTGTCAACATAGACTTTGGATTTTAGAATGCCCAGAGAAAAAAATCCAGTGACGTTAGGTCGGCCAATTGTGGATTCTGAAGGACGATCGTTGACATCATAAATTGCACGGAGTGCACGAAACGTTTTCCGAATAGAACATTGGTTTTGATAATGATAATAATTTTTAACAATTCCGACGCGTTGCTCAATCGTGTAGCGCTCCATAATAAAATGCAGAGACTAATTGAATACGGCTGCCAAAGATAGCACCTGTGTGACTATCGAGTTTTTCATGGGCTATTGTCAAACATCGAGCGTTACTATTGGAAAACCCTATACATACCTAGATTCTTCTATTGGACCTAGAAAAAATATTAAACCACTTCCTTGCTTTGAAAAACAACCATCTACAGAGCAATATCTAATAGCACAGCTAATAGGCATATTGTCAGAGAATTGTCACATAAGTAACAAATTCACAGTCCTTCACAAAGATGCAACCGAGGAGAACATTGAAAATGCCGAAGCAAACTTCAACGCTAATGCTTGTGATTATTGTGAGCTTTGAGATCCGCTAAAATTCAACCCTTTCCAGATTTTCCAGAATTTTTCCGACCCAATCCAGAAATTTCCATGCGTTTTCCAGACGTTTCCAGAAATTTCCAGACTTTATCCAGATTTTTCCAGACTTAGCTAGACTTTATGCAGACTTGTCAAAATTTCTCCAGACCTTATCAAGCCTTTTCCAGAGGTTTCCAGACATTTCCAGACTTTCCCAGACTTTATCCAGACTTTTCTAGACTTGGCTGGATTTTTCCAGACTTTATCCAGACTTGTCTAGATTTCTCCAGACCTAATAGAGCCTTTTCCAGACGTTTCCAGAAATTTTCTGGCTTTTCCAGACTGTATCCAAACTTATCCAGACTTTTCCAGATTTAGCTAGACTTTATCCAGACTTGTCTAGATTTCTCCAGACCTTATCCAGCCCTTTTCTGACCTCTCCGGACTTCTCCCAAACACTTTCCCGACTTCAAATACACTTTTCCAGACTTTATCCAGACTTGTCTGAATTTCTCCAGACCTTATCAAGCCTTTTCCAGACGATACCAGAAATTTCCAGGCTTTTCCAGACTTTATCCAGACTTTTCTAGACTGATTTTTCAGACTTTATCCAGACTTGTCTAGATTTCTCCAGACCTAATAGAGCCTTTTCCAGACGTTTCCAGAAATTTTCTGGCTCTTTTCTAGACTTTATCCAAACTTGTCTGAATGTCTCTAGACCTTATTAAGCCTTTTCCAGACGTTTCCAGAAATTTCCAGGCTTTTCCAGACTGTATCCAGATTTTTCTAGGCTTAGCTAGATTTTTCCAGACTTTATCCAGACTTGTCTAGATTTCTTCAGACCTAATAGAGCCTTTTCCAGACGTTTCTAGAAATTTTCTGGCTCTTTCCCAGACTTTATCCAAACTTATCCAGACTTTTCCAGACTTAGCAAGACTTTATCCAGACTTTATCCAGACTTATCTAGATTTCTCCAGACCTTATCCAGCCCTTTGACCTCTCCGGACTTCTCCCAAACACTTTCCCGACTTCAAATACACTTTTCCAGAACTTATCCAGACTTGTCTGAATTTCTCCAGACCTTATCCAGCCTTTTTCCGACGTTTCCAGAAATTTCCAGACTTTATCCAGACTTGGGTAGATTTTTCCAGACTTTATCCAGACTTGTCTAGATTTCTCCAGACCTAATAGAGCCTTTTCCAGACGTTTCCAGAAATTTTCTGGCTTTTCCAGACTTTATTCAAACTTATCCAAACTTTTCCAGACTTAGCTAAACTTTTTCCAGCCTTATCCAGACTTTATCCAGACTTGTCTAGATTTCTCCCGACCTTATCCAGCCCTTTCCTGACCTCTCCGGACTTCTTCCAAACACTTACCCGACTTCTATTATGTATAAGTAATTGCCTATCTATGAGTCGGCACTCAATGTATGCAAAAGCGGTAACAACCTTGAACTAACATAAACATATCGATTTTATATTCCGATTGCCTTATTTGCATAATTAAAGCGGTGACAACCTTGAACTAACATCTCGATTTTATAGTCAGACTAGGTCATGAGCGCGCTTCGCGCGCTTTTTTTTTAAATCAAGTCCATCAAAATAATTATAAAATGGAAAATATTTATTAGGTGTTGTACAAAAAACAGCATAATTTTTGATTTAAATGTACGTTGTACGTGGCATTCGGCACAAATGTGTGTGTGCGATACAAATTTAGGCGAGTGTGGACCTGTTCGCAGCATACGGACGCACGCAAAAATTTTCGCGGCATTCAACGCACGCGATCCGCGGATTGTCGGTTTTTTTCAAAACATCAAAGAGATTTACGGCGCAACATGTTCTGGTGTGGACGTATTTTTTCGCGAACGCATCGATTTTGACAAATTGTGAATCCGTGATTACTGTCTTCTGATGGATGGATAATACTGCAAGAAAATGTGTTGCTTTCATAGTTATGTGCCTTATTCTCATTAGGAAAAAGGAAGAGAAAAAAAGAAACAAATCCATCAGGTCTATTGGACTAAGTATCTGTATCAGCATAAGAAAAACTCTGATGGTAGCACATTATTGAATATTCTATCTATGGATGAAAGTACAGGGCATTTGAAAAAAAAATTGCGTATGTCTTCAAATAATTTTGAATTTTTGATACACAAGATTGGGCCCAAAATTGCCAGAATGGATACAATAAGCTTAGGAAAGCCATACACCACCGCCACACGACGTTGAGCAAGAACGCACGGCGCACAACACAAATATTTATGTGGTTCAAGATACCAAATTTGCGCCAAAAAAATGTGTGGCGAATCCCGAATTCAACACAACGCATTTATTTACTAATCTGGACGCGGCTTTATACATTAAATGTAACAGTAGTGAGATAAGTTGTATAGATGTTATTTTAGTGAAGAAATTTCAAATGCGATGGATGGAGTTGGTGACTAATTATTTTTGTATGGTATATCATAATGATTTTAAATCGATCACATTTCTTGAATGTACGGTGTGCGTATGTCTACTTATCTCATTCTGTTTTATGGAACTCGTAGGTATACATTTTTCGAAGTGGTTTAATTAAAACAGAATAATCATAACCATAATCAAGGTGTTATTATAAACCGAGTTATTGATTATTTATGTACGAGATATGGGGTCTTAAATTTTTTTTTACATTTTCATGAAGTTCCTTTTTTTTTATTAGGCCAGTTATTGAAGTCTACTCGATCAACATTTTACTGCAAACAATCGAAAAAAAAAAATTTTTAAAAGATTTTTTGTTTGTACCTACGTGGTAGACATAAATTTTAAATGTGATCAAATAGGCCAAGCAATGAAGGAAGTTTACCTCAACATAATTAGAAGTTAACATTTTTTGGGGGGGATCGGTTCATTTTCATGTGCTTAATAATATATTAAGTTTGCGACCTTGTACTTCCATAGGGTTTTTAGTTAGTGGTGGTTTTTAGGGGTAATTTGCGGTTTATGGAGAACGCTGCTCAAAGGGATGGTCCAATAGCAAAAAGTTTCAAATGAATGTTGTACCTGATGTTTTTTGCTATAAAAAACTCAGGGACAGCACCCCTCTATCTTCTATAGTTTTTTTTTCTGCAGCGTCTTGAATAGTAGCATGTTATTGTTCAAGGTCACTGAATCAACGTTTTGCTATTTTGCGCGCATTTGTTGCAGCAGCGGCCGAATGCATAATCCGATTTCAATTTTTCGAACACCACATTATTGCTAATAAAATGCACTCTCCAATGCTTTTTTGTTCGAATTTTTTACTTGAAAATTAAGCGAGCACGGACTTGTCTAAAGTGCGAGGAAGTTGTAAATTGCATCGAAAACTACCCCTTTCTTGCATTCACTCTAATTTCTAAACGGGGCCAAATATTGGGTGACAGTTTTCGACAATCGGCAGCCCATTTATTCCTCTCATAATGCCCCTGCGCATTTTTTTTTTCGTCGAACAGTCAATATCTCACAGCTTAACAGATTATCCCCAAGTTCCAGAACTAAAGGCCTTGTACCATTGCAAAGACCTGCACTGATGCTTAGATTTCTAATAAGCATAAAATAGAATTCGTTTTCAATCGTAATTCATGGAGCGGGAATTCGGCGGATTAAGCGAATTTAAATATTTTGGAAGAATAGCATCATTTAGATCACTATTATCACAGTTCTCGACACTATCTATACTGGTGTAGAGTTTTTCGGTCTTGACGTCCAACAGTTCGACAACTTATTCGTTTATTTCTTCGACATCAACATTTCTTGCAGAAAGTATTGCAGATTTGGTCAAGTCCCTGAATCTTCCTTCTTTTAGTATTGTTCGTCTACTTTTCGTATGAGGAGCGAGGGGGTGAAGTATATGGCAAAAACCAGGGGTGACGTTAGGTGACCATTGGCGTTCAAATGTAGGGTGCCACCAGCTCACATTCCTTTCGAGTATTAGATTAAAATCGACGGACTTTACTTCTCCATAGCTGTTTTCAACAATATCCGAATTATCAATACATTTCTCCGACAATTTTAGATTGTCGTTAGAATCATTTAGTGTTCGTTATCGCATAAAAATGGCTCAATTTCAGCAATAAGTGCTTAATGTTGGCCTTTAAGGCGGCAACCGTTCGAGGTTTGTCAACATAGACTTTGGATTTTAGAATGCCCAGAGAAAAAAATCCAGTGACGTTAGGTCGGCCAATTGTGGATTCTGAAGGACGATCGTTGACATCATAAATTGCACGGAGTGCACGAAACGCTTTCCGAATAGAACATTGGTTTTGATAATGATAATAATTTTTAACAATTCCGACGCGTTGCTCAATCGTGTAGCGCTCCATAATAAAATGCAGAGACTAATTGAATACGGCTGCCAAAGATAGCACCTGTGTGACTATCGAGTTTTTCATGGGCTATTGTCAAACATCGAGCGTTACTATTGGAAAACCCTATACATACCTAGATTCTTGTATTGGACCTCGAAAAAATATTAAACCACTTCCTTGCTTTGAAAAACAACCACCTACAGAGCAATATCTAATAGCACAGCTAATGGGCATATTGTCAGAGAATTGTCACTTAAATAAAAAATTCACAGTCCTTCACAAAGATGCAACCGAGGAGAACATTGAAAATGCCGAATCAACGCTAATGCTTGTGATTATTGTGAGCTTTGAGATCCGCTAAAATTCAACCCTTTCCAGAATTTTTCCGACCCAATCCAGAAATTTCCATGCGTTTTCCAGACGTTTCCAGACTTTATCCAGATTTTTCCAGACTTAGCTAGACTTTATTCAGACTTGTCTAAATTTCTCCAGACCTTTTCAAGCCTTTTCCAGACGTTTCCAGAAATATCCAGACTTTTCTAGACTTGGCTGAATTTTTCCAGACTTTATCCAGACTTGTCTAGATTTCTCCAGACCTAATAGAGCCTTTTCCAGACGTTTCCAGAAATTTTCTGGCTTTGCCAGACTGTATCCAAACCTATCCAGACTTTTCCAGATTTAGCTAGACTTTATCCAGACTTGTCTAGATTTCTCCAGACCTTATCCAGCCCTTTCCTGACCTCTCCGGACTTCTTCCAAACACTTTCCCGTCTTCAAATACACTTTGCCAGACTTGTCTGAATTTCTCCAGACCTTATCAAGCCTTTTCCAGACGTTAACAGAAATTTCCAGACTTTATCCAGACTTGTCTAGATTTCTCCAGACCTAATAGAGCCTTTTCCAGACGTTTCCAGAAATTTTCTGGCTCTTTTCCAGACTTTATCCAAACTTATCCAGACTTTTCCAGACTTAGCTAGACTATCCAGACTTATCCAGACTTTATCCAGACTTGTCTGAATTTCGCCAGACCTTATTAAGCCTTTTTCAGAAATTTCCAGACTTTTCCAGACTTTATCCAGACTTTTCTAGACTTGGCTAGATTTTTCCAGACTTGATCCAGACTTGTCTAGATTTCTCCAGACCTAATAGAGCCTTTTCCAGACGTTTCCAGACATTTTCTGGCTCTTTTCTAGACTTTATCCAAACTTATCCAGACTTTCTCAGACTTAGCTAGACTTTATCCAGACTTATCCAGACTTTATCCAGACTTGTCTAGATTTCTCCAGACCTTATCCAGCCCTTTGACCTCTCCGGACTTCTTCCAAACACTTTCCCGACTTCAAATACACTTTTCCAGACCATATCCAGACTTGTCTGAATTTCTCCAGACCTTATCCAGCCTTTTCCCGACGTTTCCAGAAATTTTCTGGCTTTCCCAGACTTTATCCAAACTTATCCAAACTTTTCCAGACTTAGCTAGACTTCATCCAGCCTTATCCAGACTTGTCTAGATTTCTCCAGACCTTATCCATCCCTTTCCTGACCTGTCCGGACTTCTTCCAAACACTTACCCGACTTCAATTATGTATAAGTAATTGCCTATCTATGAGTCAGCACTTAATGTTGCAAAAGCGGCGACAACCTTGAACTAACATAAACATATCGATTTTATATTCAGATTGCCTTATTTGCATAATTAAAGCGGTGACAACCTTGAACTAACATCTCGATTTTATATTCAGATTATACTTTTATAAATTTATACAAGTATCGGTCTCATTTCACGCGGTGTCCAAGAACTGGATATTTTACCTTATTTTATACCTAATACTAATTTCATAAATATGGGTTTTTATCTTATTTTTGGTTTAATTATTTGTTTCAGACGCCGTTATCACCGCCCACTGTGATTGATTCGATTGACGAGAAACCATCTTTATTATCAGCGATTCCTCGTCCTGCAACACCTACTGAATCATTAACGGCAAATTCCATTCAATCGTCGCAATCTTTGGAGTCATCTGTTGCATCTTTTCAATCGACATCAACAACTGACAAAAAAAATCCAGTATGTCTGTTTTGCGGTTGTAAGCAGAAAAGAAGTGGTAAACAAAGATATAGCCTTCTTATATCACCTCAGACGAACAATTGTTTAAAAGAAATAAAAACAATTGCAGAAGGTTGTAATGATTCAGAGATGCTTGCGAAACTTCAGAGTGAAACGGTCCAATATCATAAGATTTGTTCAACTAATTACCGGGAAACTAGAAAGTGGCAAAGTCATGAACATGAACAATCTGGGTTGGCATGAAAAAAGAGAAATACATAGATTTGCGTACCACGTTCTGGAAGATTTTATTAATGTGGAAATTATTGAAAATTATAAAGTTGTATATTTTCAGCAGTTAGTACAAAGATACAAAGCTCTCTTAAGAGAATTCGGAGAAGGAAAAATGAAATCCGAAGACATAAATAATTACCGATCTGAATACTTGGAAAAAAAAGTCGTAAAAAATTTCGGCGACCGGCTGACAATTGAAGCATCTACTGGACAAAGTTGCCGAAAAATTGTATATAACACAGACATCGACGTAAATGTGATGGCAAGCAAGACTAACTTTCTGGAAATAAAAGATGAAAGTAAATTTGAAGATGTGGCTTTTGATTTAAGGAACTGCGTCAAAACTATAAATTGCAATCCACTGCCAAGTCATTTGATAGCGGATAATATTATTGACGGAGAATGTGAGATACCTGAAAAATTGTTTGACTTTGTACTCAATCTCATAGGTGGACCTCAAGCGTACGATAAAATCGGAAAAGAAAATCAAACTCAACGTCACGTCGTTGTGCAGTGATATCATTTATGCAATCACAAAAGAGAGATGTAAGCCTGCAAAAAATTTAACCCTCGGATTGGCGGTAAAATCTTTAACAAATTCACGACAAGTCATCACAATGCTGAACAGATATGGGCATACGATCGGATACAACTTAGCTGACGAGCTGGAGACAGAGATGTTTTATACAGCGGTCGAGAGTGATCATATTATACCAACTGGTATTGATATATCGAGCGGACGTAGCACACATGTAGCGTTTGATAATTTTGATCGCTTTGTTGATACGACATCAGGAAAAGATACAATGCACGATACTGTAGGTATTATCTACCTATTTCCTACAGCACAAAATGAAAATTCTGGTAATAATGAAGCTTCGGCATCTCCAGCTCTACTGTTTGATGACAGCAAAGAAGAATATCAGCCTACTTCACGAAAACGACGACGATTTACCGAAATTACACGGAGGATTAAGCCGTATTACTCTAAGCCTACAACAAGTATGGAGATGCTCGCGATTGATTCTTTCCAGGATACAATAGATGTATGTAATGGCGCCACTGAAATAGCAATTGACAAAGATTTACTGTGGATTATTTCTTTGTCGATAAATAAGTCTATTCCCATGTGGCTGGGCTTCAATTACATGATATCAATAGATCATAGCGAAATTCAAAAAATTGATTATTTGGCTCCGATAAATTATTCTCCAACGTCATACGCAGTTGTAAATGAAACACTTTCCATGGCTAAAGAAATATCTGAGAAGTGTGGAAGCGGAACTATTATAGTTACATATGATTTGGCGATAGCCAAAATGGCGACGCAGATACAAGAAAATGAAAAGCCTAAATATAATAATATTTTCGTTAATTTGGGGGCGTTCCATATGCAGATAGCATTTTTTAAAGCTATAGGCAAATTTATTGACTCAAGTGGTTCAATCGAAGCGCTAGTTCAGGCTGAAGTTTTGGCAGGTGGCTCAATGAACAGCTTTTTAGATAGTAAACATTTTAATCGTTGTAAGCGACTACATCCACTTACTTCGGCTGCGCTACAAATATTACACTTTGAGCGATACTTATCTACAGCTGAAATTTCGCCCGAGATGTTGGATGAACTTGTACAAAAAGTAATTTCTTCTGTACCCAGTCAAAATGTTTCTGAAGTCAACGAGGGGATTGAATTGCCTGATTCATTGAGCCACATTGTCAAAGGTTATAAAGATTTCTGCAGAAAGACTTTGATGGGTGACCATGGAAAAACTGCACAATATTACTACCAATACTGTGAGTTTATTAATATATTCTTAAGATTTTCACGAAGCATCCGTACAAGTAACTTCGAACTTTACTTGGATTCAATTTTCAACATGGCTGACCTATTTTTTGCATTAAACCAACCAAATTATGCGAGGTGGTCTGTAATGTACTTAAGTAATCTAATCAGATTACGAAGAGAAAATTCAACCCTGGTTACTGAATTTCGACGAGGTGTCTTTGGAATCAGACGCACAAAAGCGAACTTTGCTAGGTCACCAGTTGACTTGACGTTATAACAAACCATTAATGCTGATGCCACTAATCAATTGTCTAACAATTTTTCCGCAGACTCCATATCTGCTCGGCAAAGATGGGCTCTCAACCACAGTATGAGAACAAAAATTTTGACTGCTGTCAAGGAAAATGTTGGTTTATCACAAAAAGATGATACATCGTACTCTTTGGAGAAAAGTCGACTAAAAAAGGATCAAAGTAATCTTCGCAACGTTATTAAAGCGATAAAAAACCTCGTCAATCCATTTGATGATGAAATAGATAAAAATGTTTTATTTAACATTTCTACTGGTAAGGCTGCTTCTTCAGATGTTACGAATTTCTTGCTTGCCGTTAAGTCGAAAGGAAATAAACAAAAATTAACTTTTATTTCCGAATGCGAATCTGGTACTGGAAGATTTGAAAAGCCGATATCACGGAACAAAATTCTTAATTTTGCCTCACAGTGTACCTCGAAAGTTCAGAAGGGTAAAAGTAAACAGGCAATACTAAAAATGGAACGAGACATCTTTGGTCGGCTACTAGCAATTAGTCTTGAAAAAAAAAATTAATTTAGAATACTGTCTGACATATCCACTAGCTCCATTCCCGCCCTCTCTGTTCTCCTGTCCTGGTGAAATATTGAAAACAGACAAATCTGCATTGGCTAAATTATTGAAATCAGAAGTCCAAATAACTCAACCGACACAGATTGACGTTGAAATTGTGGATGGTTTTTATTTTTTACACCTTATTGGATCTTTCATGCCACAAACTTTTGGCAAAGAAGCTGAATCTGTTCTTATAAAACTGTGTTCAAGTAATGCTAAAGAAGTACATATAATTTTTGATCGATATTTAACGCCATCAATAAAAAATTCAGAGCGACAAAATAGACAAGAGTTTGATGTTCCATACACAATTACAGGACGTCAACAAGCAAGACCTTCCGATTTTCTTGGAAGTCTTAAAAATCACCGCTTCAAAGAGGCTTTGGTAAAGTTCCTGACAAATTATTGGGAAAGTGATCATTTAGCACCTATAATACGAACAAAAATTTTTTTTATAACTGTTGAGATTCAATGCTACTCCTAGCAATCGATAGAAAAACATGTAGTAAGAACTGAAGAAATCGACTATGAATGTTACCATGAAGAAGCCGATACGCGAATTATGCTTCATATCAGCAAAGTTCTACAAACTTCAAAAATTTTAGTGAAAGCTTCTGATACTGATGTATTGATAATTTTGCTGGGAAACATGCATAAAGTTCCAGAATCAGAAATTTGGTTAGCGAGCTCAGGAAGTAAAACAAAAACTGATAAAGATTTTAACTGCATAAACTACACTGAATTAGCGTCGAAGTTAGGGTCCTCTCATGTCTTAGTCTACCAGCGTTCCACGCTTTTACAGGCTCTGACTACACTGCAGCTTTCTACAACAAAGGCAAAATCAGGCCTTATAAAATACTTTTGAAAAATGAATCTTATCAAAAAATGTTTGCGTCATTGAAAGATAGTGCCGACATTTTCATCGACGAAAAAATCGAATTGATTCAAAAGTTTACTGTTCCTATGTACGGAATAAAAAACTGTAAAAGCGTTAACGATGCGAGGTATCGAATTTTCCAGAGAAATTATTCTACTAATAAGAATAATGAACAATTTTTGAAAAAAATTAAAAACTTCAATTCCAACACAATTCCACCTTGCTGGAAATCATTGGAACAAAAAATTTTACGAACAATATTTATAAATTCAATGTGGCTCAATGCTACCGATCCTTGCTGGATGATTGCTTTCTAAAGCCAACTGAATTCCTCGGGGATCCAACACCCTTACAAGTTGATGACATTTTGCAGGCTACAAAGGAGGAGAATGATAACGACACTTCAGAATTGGATTGCAATATTGCAAGTTCTGATGATTCAGATAGTGAATAATTTTATGCATTAATTAGTGATTAATTCAACAATTAAAAATATTTTTATAACAATTATTTCTTTTTTCCGGCGTTTCATGAGCAGCTGCTATATCCTGATTCCTGCATCCATCTCTTCGACATAATAATATATACCTATAGCGCTCGCAGTCAGGCCTTACTTTCAAAACGAAAATATTGTCTATTGAATCTTTAAATCATGGCAACCCCTAGCCTTGCCACGATTTGGATAGACAACCATATACCATTGGACCCACCTGTTTACACCTGGTTGGCAGGTATTCTTGCCAGGAAAAATGTAGCCAACCATGCCGTGGCGTTTTCCACATGTTGTTTGCCTTCAATTTATACCAAATTTATTTAGAAAAAGAATGAACGAAAATGGGATAAAAAAATCAATCAAATAATATTTAATTAAAAATAGCCTTGCCAGGATATGGACTGCCAACCACCCCGGAATTTATTTATCTATTCATTTTACTGCAAAAAAAATATATTTTATCAAGAAAAAGGATGAGGGGTGTTATAGTAAAGCCGGATCTTCTACGGAATTTGTTTTGATCTTCACACAATGATGATATCCTGGTTCCAATTGAATGATTCTATATAATCTTGTTCTTTTTAGCTTTTCAGACTCATATCGCTTATGTAGATGCGTTTATGTCATATCATTATTTTTCTAGCCTTGATCCCAAACCTTGTAAAAATTTATATTTACGGATATGTTCCAATTTATATTTTTTTTATTCCGAATCAACCCATTAGCCCCAGCAAGGTCACAGTTTATCTCAAAATTGCACATTTTATCCATTGACAGATTCTTAAAGACCAATCCCATATACCTATACACGCCCATGACCAATATTTTTCGTCTCCACATGAACGAAAAATATGCATTAAGAGGATTGAAACTGAGAAAGCTCAAAAAATAATGTTTTTTTTTTCAAGAAGATTTGAGCAATTAACTGTCGTGGGTACCAATTAATAAGCTTAAAAAAGTTTATCTCTTTCGAGGCAATTCAATAATAATCATATTGTATGGTCCTTTCCCTTTTCGAATGCAATAAAAAAGTAGGAGGCAGATATCTGCAGGCATATCCTCTTAACTCGTCATAATACCAAACATACCAACATATACAAACACGGTACCACTTTCTTCATTCTCTTTTCACGTAATACCTATCTTTTTCTCGCTCGCTGATCCAGTTTGAACAGATTTCAATATTCTTTTATTAATAATCTGCCTTTTGCTCGGTTTCGGCTTTTATTCAGTGAGTCAGTGTGGCCTAAGACGTGTAAATGCATAACTTTTGATTTAGGTTTTTGTGAAACGAATTATCAAATATGATAAGAAGTATATTTTTAATAGTGTTTATTACAGGTAAGACTATTTTTAGTAGAAACCTAATATTCTCATTAAAATCCGGTGGTACATTAAAATTCACGAATGACTACAATTATTTTGATACTTTTTCCTTCTTTCTTACGCAAGTTGTCTCAAACTTTGTATTTGTATAATAATAACGTTAGAAAGCGCCTAGCATAGATAGGCAAAATAATACCATACTATATAACATAAAAATAGCATTTAATTTAAATGTCAAACAGCAATAAAATTAAATTAAAATTCAAATGACACATTTTATGCCTTCATCCGGAAAAAAGCCATTCTCTTTTTCTAGGTGTATTCGGTCAATTCAAATGTCCGCAAGGGACAGGATATTTTCCAGACCCAATACAATGCGATTTGTACTATGAATGTTCCAGGGGACAAGCTGAAGAGAAATTGTGTCCTGATGGTTTAGTTTTTGATGATTCTGATCCAAATCACGAAAGGTAATCTTAATTTTTGTTTAGTCTTCGATGATCACTGACATTTTAGGCCATATGTTTATACAAACATACATAGATTCTTTAAAGGGGATGTGACCCTAAAAAACGACTTAAGCTACTGTTCAGTCGTCAGTGAACCGTACCCTATACTTTGAGTGGTTGCAATTCGCTCTAGTGAGATAATTGTCTTTTGTTTTAGAAAATTCTCACACGTGTTAATACTGTGCCTGATAATCCGGTGTCGGTGTGACGTCGCAAACACCCAGTTGTAATTTTAAACCGTCGTAACTCGAAAACGGACCATCGCAGCAAGATGCTTTTTAAATATTTATTCTTATAGATTTTTTTGCACTAAAACCTTCATTTTTGGGTCACACCCCCTTTAATAGTCTAATAAAATATGTCCTTCTCAAGTATTTTTCACAAAGTTAAAAAATACTGGAAAACTCTGAAGGCGTTCTTGGCGAATCGCATTCGGGACAGTCCGAGTGAACATTTTAGATAAGTATGTGAAAAAACTCGAGGCTGGAAAAATTAAGTGTATCACAAGTGCTTTTCCCTTCATTTGAGAGGATCAGTCTATCAAGTTTCTAAGGATCAGCGGATGTCAAAGGAAAGTGAACATTTTTATATTTGTGCTCAAGAGAATACACGGCTCAAGGACTCAAGGTATATCCATAATCTAAGGTATATCCACAGTTCCTTACTGACTAATGAGCCAAGATACAGGATTATCCTGTTGATGTTGTATGACTGATAAATTGTGACATACTTTAAAACTTGGACATTTTTAGTTAATTTAGGAAATTGGACTTGATCATAATGCAAAAAAAAAAATTCTTAGGTGCGACCGTTGTCCAGGACTTTTTGGTACTTAGAGAATAGACACTGTTAAGTGTAACTAGCCCATGTAAACAATCATGTAAACATGAAGTGTCGTATGTACAGGGTGAGAGTGGCCCAAATTCGAGCCTCATCATCTCGGAAACCATAAGAGATACAGGATCGGTTAAATTATGGCAAAGTTGCGCAATTTTCTGACCAATAGAATGCCGTTTTGAAATTAGAAAGATTCCGAATACTTCCGGAGATATTCGGAAAAAGTTACACTAAAAAGTGACAATGATGAAGTGACCTTTATTTTAAAATTGCTCTTCTAATAAGCTCAGGAAAAAATAAGAACGATTTTACAAAATTTCGGTTTTTTCCGAATATCTACGGAAGTATTCGAAACCTTTCTAATTTCAAAACGGCATTCTATTGGTCATAAAATTGCGCAACTTTGCCATAATTTTATCAGGGCATAATACATTTTATTTATTATTAACGACAAGTGACATTTTAATGTGCTAAATTCATTGAGATAGGGTGGTAACGGATAATGTTAATTTTATGATAAGAAGATCCAGAAAAACAGTTGAATGGAAAATAATTTTAAAAAAAATAGTGAGAAGTTGTATTTTTTTTGGGGATGTCTTATTCTTCTTCTTCTTCTTCTAGCCTGTTTCCGTCCACTGCTGGACATAGGCCTCTTCCATCGGTTCCTGTCTTGTGCCGCAAGGATCCAGTTTTTTCCAGCAATCCTTTGAATGTGATCGTTTGCGGTCTTCCAATGTTTCTTTTTGAATCTCGTGACCTCCATTCCATGAGTATCTTGGTCCATTTGTTATTATCTCTGGCCAGGGGCGTAGTCACCGGTGTTCCGCGTGTTCCATGGAACACGGGCCCGGTACCTCAAGGGGGCCCGGTTCTAAATGCCAATATTATTTTTTTCTACTGACGTTTCATAATAGCAACTTTTCGATTGTCATTTCAGTTTTGAAACGACATTCTTTTAGGCACTGAGTGCGTGAAAGTTACTTTTAGGCACTCAGTGCGTAAAAGTGACTTTTGAATGCGTAAAAGTGACTTATGAGTGCGTAAAAGTAATTTTTAAGCACTAGTGCCTAAAAGTGTCATTCATTATTCAGAAATAAAAAACACACTAAACACATATTTGAATTTTGTTTTGTATTTATTATGAATATTGAAAATGGAATTACTGAATTGAACGTTTGGGTTACTCAAAACAGAACTTTGTGTTATTACCTACTTTCTAGGATTTTAATTATTGATGTCGAATTTTCAAAAGAAAATCGCATGAAAAGTGTCAGGTGGCAAGTAAAAGCAGGTAACAAAGATTTTGGGTGTAATCGACTTATTCACATGAAATAAAATTGTATTTTTTTATTATAAAATGCCAGTAGAAAAAATCTTGTATACAATACGTTACGAAACGATGTCTTTTAGTCACTCGACGTGTTGTCCAACTCGGCTTTGCCTCGTTGGACAATTTTCACATCGCGTGCCTAAAAGACGCTCATTTCGTAACTTATTGTATAAATAGCTATTTCCCTAGTAAGTAAAAAAAAATCTATTTTACACATTTGACGCTAATTTATATAAAAATAAAAAATATCTATATCTACGTAGGTAAAGTCTTAATTTTTTACATTCATATGTAGATTTAGAATGATTTATTTTATTATTTTATGAAAACTTTGCGAGTTTACCGCTTGTCGCGTAACGTACGGCCAAAACACTTCATAGTTTGCCAAGTATGCCAACTCATCCTGCAATCCCTGCGTTGTGGTTTGTTGTGCTGCCCTCTAATTAGGTGAGTTAAGCCTAGTACTCATAACAGCGAAATCCGCTCTTTTTTGACATTGCTTCGACAATTTGACGTTCTATGCGTGAATCATAGAGGCGTGAATGAAACGTCAAATTTTCGAAGCAACGTCAAAAAAGAGCGAATTTCGAGGTTATGAGTACTAGGCTTTAAGCTTTAATTTTAAGGGCCGGTTTCTCAATAGCGAGTCACCGCCGCGCCGGATTGGTTTTAGCTCCAGAGTAAGCGTAAGAAGTTGCAATGTTTACCCTGGAGTTATGCCTAACCCAGGGGTGACTTGCTATTGAGAAACCGGCCCTTAGGGTATTTATGGCATGATATTGCACTTGAAATATGTCTAGAATTTTCCGCAGAATCAAATAATGTCATGATATACAGAATGTACGATTTAAAAAAATAAAGTTGATAACGGTACGGTACAGCTGTTCTTGGAACCACCTGTATAAAAGAATTGGTGTGAAAAAATCTCAAGCAAAAAAACAAAATCGACGTGTCCGAGCGGTTTTTCCAAAACGCCTTAATTTATTTTATATTGAATATGTTCCATACTTTCGTTCACCCTGCATATTTAGAAGAAAAAAAAATATATATATATTTCTTTGATTTTTCAATTTTTTTATCTCGCAGGCCCGGTAAAATTTTTGAACACGGGCCCGGAGCATCGTCACTACGCCACTGTCTCTGGCCACATGACCTGCCCACCGTCACTTCAACCTTGTCGCCCGTACCACCGCATCGTCGATTTTTCTTCTCTATCGAATTTCGCACCCGATCTCTGAGGCTAATACCAAGCATTGCACTTTCTATGGCGCGTTGACAAACTCTGGTAAAATACATGTGTTGTAGATCTAAGCTTCAGACTAATCGGGACATCCGGGTTTTTAAGAATATAACCCAGTTTTGAGAAAGCTGACCATCATGTAAGACCCGTTCGGCGATTTATTTCAGCAATAGATACGTTTGTTTTTGCCGAGCTTAATGATACGGCCGAGATAGAAATATTCGTTTCGTTCACCACTTCGAGAGTCTGATTTTCAATAGTTACGTCGACATGTCTTTGCTCATTATTTCAGTTTTCCGGATATTCATTGTCAATCCTACTGCTTTGGATGTCTGTTGTAGTTCCTTTTTCATGATGGATAATTCCTGTGAGTCATTACTGATGATCACGATATCGTCTGCAAATCTCAGATGGTTCAAGTGTTTTCCGTCAATTGAGATACCCTTGTCCTTCCATCGTAACTTTTTAAATATTATGTCTTCTAGGGCCAGTATCAACAGCTTACGGGAGATCGTGTCTCCCTGTCTGACTCCTCTATTTAATAAAATTTTCTCAATGCTCAGTTCATTGTCGATCTTTACTTGTATTGTGGCATTTTCATATGCATGCCTTATTATTCTGGTGTATCTAGAATCGATCCTCGCATCTAAAACTGCCCATGTCTCAACAGAATCAAACGCCTTGTGATAATCGACAAAAGCCAGATGTAAAAGAATGTTGTATTCTGTACACTTTTCGATCAAGGTTCGTATACTCTGTATGTGATCAATCGTGCTGAAGCCTTATCGAAGACCGAAAACCTGCTTGTTCAACTGGCTGGTAGAAATCAAACTTAGCATTTAGTCTATTTGTAAGTATTTTCGCAGCTTATATAAGATAGACAGCAAACTGATAGGGCGGTAATTCTCTAGGTTAGTGTCATCTCCCTTCTTGAATATAGAAGTAACTTCGGCGTTTTGCCAGGCTTTGGGGATTTTTTCTTCTTCTAGAAATTTATTTAGTATAATGAGGACGGCTTTATGTCTTCCCTCAAATTTTAAGCATCTCCCTCGTAATTCCATCCTCTCCTGGAGCTTTTCCGTTCTTTAGTTGTCCTATTGCGGTTCTTAACTCACTTGTACATATTTCAGGTATTTCTTCGGATCCAGCATTTATGACGGGGTGTGTGTGTCTTCTTATGTTGGCTATTGGTGGTTGTATAGTTTGATTATATAAGTCTTGGTAGAAAGCCTGCATTACTTTATTTCTATAGCAAACCGCCTTTTTTGCTTTTTGAATAGTAGCTCTTATTTTCTTTGAGAGATCTTCAAGGTTTAATTCTGTTAGGTTTCCTGTTGGCTCCAGCTTTTTCTCGATGATAGTATTATATTCTTCCCTCTTATCGACAAGCTCTATTATTGATGGATGTATGCTCTTTTCAATTCGCCTTGTGCATTCCAGTTGAGTGTTGATTCTGAATTGGGCTCTAACCAGTCGGTGGTCACTGCCTGTGTTAAAATGGTTTAGTACAGAGTCATCCAGACAGATTTCCTTGTTCGTTGATAGACAATCATC